TGGATGAGCTGGCAGTAGAGCGCGGCCACGCGGTCCACGTCGCCGCACACGGCTGCGCTCAGCACCACGGCCACGTAGCCCAGCTCCTCCGCCCGCCGCTTGGCCTCGGCCAAAGCCAGCGCGTTGGAGCCGATGATAACGTTGAAGACGTGGGAATAATCTTCCGGAGCGGTGGGTTTTGCTGGAGAGCTGGACAGGACTGTTTCCACCGACCTGGGCAGGCTGGTCAGCAGCTCGTATTTGTCCAGGACGCGCAGGCAGTCCTGGACGCTGTGGGAGCTGGCTGCGGTGGGCCCGCTCGCTATGACGTCCAGGGGGTCGCCAATCACATCGGAAAGGATGAGGCTCACCACCTGCCAAGAGAAGCGGGTTAACGTGGCGGGCAGAGACAGGCGCCCGTGCCAAGGCATGGACACTGCTCGGAGTTACACCTGCAAAGCAAAAGATTTTCTCTCCTCAGGCTGAAACTGTCTGCAAGGGCAGCTGAAGCCTTTCTCCCTTTTGAGCAACTTCCTTGGCTTTGGACAAGATACTCCAAACCTTTGCAGTCCTCTCCGGGGAGGCCAAGACCTGTTGTTTGGGAAACAGATTCCCCCCAAAATAATGGGATTTGCTCAGTGATGGGTGCAAAACCTGCAAACACAGCTGGACCAGCCAAGGAAACAGCCCTTTGGAGAGCAGCCGGGTGCGCTCCCGTGGCTTCCTCGCCGCTTACCTGTGCCGGGTATGCCAGCCGCGCCAGCCCTCCGCCCTTCAGCAGGGACAGGGCCTTGCGGACCGTGTTGAGCTCCTGTATGGTGGCCCCTCGGGAAGCCAGCAGCCTCGTGAGCTCCTGCTTCTCCTCGAGAAGGACGGGCGGCCGGGGAGCTGGCAGCAGGGCCGAGCCACCACCTGGAAGGCAGAGGAGAGAGCGGGGCAGGAGGGCGCGCGGGCTGGCCGGCCCCAAGGCAGAGGCACCCGCTCCTCCGTGGTGAAACCTCAGCTGTCTCCGGCACGCAGACACCGGCTGCGTCTGTGGCAAGTCGGGGAGCTGCCGATGCGCCGAGCAAAGCCCGGGAGGAAGGAAGCAGGGGAGAGAAGCACAACGGACCCTCAGATGCCGGCGTGATGCCTCTTCACGAGGAATCCCGTTCAGGGAGTTCATGCAATTGGGTATGGGACAGCAGCGAAGGAGGCAGGAAAAACGTTAGACAGGAAAAGCAAACTGGATGGTAAAAAAAGGATTGGGAGTGAGATGCAAGTGGAGGGTAAAGGCGGACAGAAGCACTGCCAAAACCTGCCACAAATGGGGAAGGGCTGCTCCGAGGTTAGAGGCAAACCTGCATCAATAAAACACGATGAGCAAGGAAAAGGAAAAAAATAGCCAAGGCCCCTGTTTCAATCGCTTGTCGGGATGCTGGCTGAGGGGGAGCAGGGGGAGCCTTCGGGCTGCAGCGGGGCGCTGAGGCAGAGCCCGCGCCGGGCGTTACCTGAGATGAGCACGAGGAGCAGGTCGTCGGCGCCCAGCGCCTCGGCCAGCTCGCGGATGGCGCCCCCTGCCCGCAGCGCCTCCTGGTCCGGCAGGTTGTCCTTGGCGCCTTCCATGACCCGGATCCTGCTGTGCGGCCTCAGCAGCATGTCCCTGCGGGCGTGCAGGGCCTG